TATTTTTGAGAGATAGAGTCAGAGAGCAAGTGGGAGAGGGGCAGAGAGAGAGAGGGAGACACAGAATCTGAAGCAGGCTCCAGGCTCTGAGCTATCAGTACAGAGCCCAATGCAGGGCTTGAACTCACGAATGGCAAGATCATGACCTAGGCCAAAGTCAGATGCTTAACCAACTGAGCCACCCAGGCGTCCCTCACAAGTTTTTATTATAGTATTATCATTATCATATGGTTAAAAAAATTTTTTTAAGTTTTCATTATGATTTATTCTTTGGCTCATTTCGTGGGCCATTTCAACATGTGTTTCTTATATTCCAAACTATATGGAGCTTGTATATGTTATATCAGAAAATTATCTTTTGCTTTTATTCTTATGTTATGTTGTTCTGTGATAATAAAAAATGCTCTGTATGATTGATACTGTTCAAACCTGCTTTTTTTCCTCCAGGAAAGGATTTATTGTGTAAATATTCCATTGCTCTTAAAAGGAATGTGCAGTCCTCAGTTGCTGAGGCAGTTCATGTATATGTGCACTAGGTCGGTTTGGTTAGTCTTGTTCAAATCTCTATTCTTGTTTGTTTGCCTTTAATTTTAAAAAGTCAATTATTAAAAGAAGTGTGTTTAAGTCTCTCCCAGTGATCATCATTGTTTAGTCTTTCCTTGTAGTTCTGTCAAATTTTGCTCTCTATAATTGAAACTGTGGTCTTAGTACAATCAGATTAACTGTTGTATCTTCTTGGTGAATTGAGCATTTTATCATTTTGAAATGACTCATGGGCTTTTTGTAATAATGTTTTTTTCCTCATAAAGTATGCTTTGTCTGATATTACTAAAGGACAATGACTTTCTTGTGGTTATTATTTTCACAGTATATATTTTCCAAACTTTTGCTTTCAACCCTTTTGTGTACTTGTGTTTTAATTGTGTTTTTATCGAAGGCATGCACTTGGATATTTTCGTATATAGTCTGATAACATTGTATTTTGACTGGGGAATTTAATACATTTATATTTAATGTATATTAAGTGTATATTTGGTTTCAAATCTACCCCGTTATTTTGTATTTGTGCTTGTCTCAGCTCTTTTGTTTTTCTCTCTTCCCTTCTGGATGATTTTATCATTCATTTTTCCTCTATGAGTTTTGAAATTATACATTTTTTTCAATGCTTTTAGTGGTTACCTTCAGAACAACATACATACTTATCAAAGTCTAAAGTTAACGAGTATCATTTTTCCTGTAATGACTTATATTACTATACATTTTTTAACCAAAAATAATTTTATTTTTAATTATTGTACACAAGAGTTATTTCCTTTGGAATTTGCCATATATTTACCACTTTTTTTCCCACCCCATCTTGCATTTTAGACATTTCATCCAGGGTCACTTCTTTCTGTTGAAGTATATACTTTTGGAATTTCCTTTGGTGAGGATCTTCTGGAGGCAAACACTTAATTTTTGTTTGCCTGATATATTACTTTATACTTATTTGTGAAATAAATTTTCATGGAGTAGATAATTTAAGATTGGAAATTATTTTATTTCAGTACATTGAAAATGTCATTTCCTCCTTTCTACTGTTGTTGAGAGACAAACTTTTATTGCTTTAGAGTACTGACTTCTTTCACTAACTGCTTTTGAAATTTTCTCTTTTACTTTGCAAAATTTTCTTGGATATGGCTTTCTTTTTGTTTCTTTGGCTTACATGAGTAAGCCATAGACTCTGGATAAAAACATAGACTCTGGAGCCAAACCACCTGGGTTGGAATCCCAGCTCTGTCACTTAATAATTTTGTAATCTTCAGTAGATTGATTAGCTTTTCTGTATCATAGTTGTACTCATCTTCAATTAGAGATAATTGTATAAATGCTTAACCTCAATAAATGGTAGTTGTCATTTATTATCTGAAGTTATTTTATTTTTAATATTTTTAATGTTTGAGAGAGAGAGAGAGAGGGAGAGAGAGGGAGAGAGAATGTGAGCAGGAGAGGGGCAGAGAGAGAAGGAGACACAGAATCCAAAGCAGGATCCAGGCTCCAAGCTGTCAGCACAGAGACTGACTCAGGCTTGAACTCATGAACCACGAGATCATGACCTGAGGTGAAGTCAGACGCATAACCAAATGAGCCACCTGGTCATCCCTGAAATTATTTTTAAATTATTATGTTTTTAAGTTTATTAACTTCAAATATACATGCCATACACTGGTTAAACATTATTTAAAAACTCCTTTTAAAGATTAGCAACGATATCTTCTAATAGATACTGTAGCTGCCAACATTGTATAGAAAAGAGAGAAAACTGTGCCTTACCAGCAGAATTAAAATGCATAGCAAATAGGAGAAAAAAAAACTTAGTTTGCCTCTAAATGCCCCTTACAATTTTATGTCACACATATCACTTCTTGTTTTAATGTTTATTATTTTTATCTTTACCTAACTCTGATCCATTGCTTTATCCATATCAATGTCCATATGCATGGAGAGACATTTGCACTAGGGCTAATTGGGGAGCAGGAGCAGATGGGGGCAAGTATTTAGAAGCAGTTTAATATCAATCTCTGAACAATTGGAGATAGAACAGTGATTCACATTCTAGGAGAATCTTGATGAGGGGTCAAGCTTTTAAAAATGGAACAGTTGGTCACTACAGCCATTTGCTGAGGGGCCTTCCGCTATAGAATTCCTTTGATTGCTGTTCTCTCTAAGAAGAGCCTCGGGCTTTTCCCCATAAAACGGTTGCCATATAGTTTTGCCCTGTTCAGCATTTTCATTCGGTTTCTGCCTCCTGTGTTGGTCTACTCTTGCACTTTTCAGCTCTTGAGTGCCGTCCCCTCTAGCTGTGCCTCTGGTAGCTTCTGCTGCTCCTTGACCCCTGTGACCCTGTCAGATCGTGCAACCTCCTGGGCCTACCTCTCTTTGCTCTCAAGCACACGTCTCCCATTGGCCTCTTCATTCTGCATTCTTAGGCTGGCAAACTGCTGCTA